CTGGGGCCTCCGCGCCGCTGGCACCGCAAGCCAGGGCACGGCCACGGGGACGTCACCGCGCCACCCGCGCCGGCAGCGCGAGATCTGCGTCTTGCACACTTATATTTCCATTATCTCCACTATAAAATACACGGCCAAATAGCAGGGCAAACGGTCCTGTGATCTGAGCGGTGCTTAAGGCTGCAGTCACTAAATGGGCAAGGGTAAATAAACTGTGCCCAGTTCCTGCCCCCTTCCTTGTGCAATGGGGAGCGCATGCAGCTACCAAAAGACTCCAAGTTCAACATACTGAAAACTGATACAAGTTCTCATTTCAGCACCAAAAATGCAATAAGCAATGTTAAACACAGTTCTGGTGAAATCTCTCACTGGGAGGTCTCACCAGCTCCCCCTTTTATTCTTGCTTTAAAACACCTTGTCTTAGAGCACCCTCAAAGCTGAGGACCTACAGCCACCTAAGGGAAATGAGACCGGGGGGTTCAGCCCTCAGATGATGGGTCAGGTTCACCCCCACAGGCTGTGGAAAGAGAAATAAATCTTGGATCTGCCAGATGTGCTCCAAGAGAGGAGAGATGGCTCTGGTTAAGGGAGCGGACCAAGAGTACAAGAGATCTAGTGTCTTTTTCATAAGTTCCACCACCGTTTTTCTTTTGTACGACCTTCAGCATCGCTGAAGCTCATGGTCCTCAAGGAGATCTATGTGCCTCTGAGGTACACAGTGATGGGGACCCATAAAGGGATTTTATGGATCTCCCGGAGGGATCATGGGCTGGTTTTAAAGGATTTGACCAGGATGGAGCCTGGTTGGCCCCTGAGAAGCTAGTGGGGTGCTGGGGGTCGGATCTGCAAACGGCGTCAGCGCCTCCCTTGGCACTTTTGGAGCTGGGGCAGCAGCACTTCTCTATTTGCCAAACGCACTGAGATGGGGTAAACAGGGGGAGGTGGCTATGAGCATAAAATACACCAATATACTCACATTTTCCCTTTAAAGAGTATTTTATATCAAAAGGAGGCACCCATTAATACTAGAAATGCATGTTTCTTTTAAGCTCATTGTTAATGGTAGATTAGTGGAAACTACACAACAATCACCATAGCTCTGTAAAACTTAAAAATTACTTTCTGATTCCATATCAATTTCAGAGCAAGAGAAATTAAGCCAAAATCAGGATGATTGCTCTGCAATCAGCAAGTATGGCAAATGCTTTCACTAAGAAAGCGCCGTGTGCCATTTTGGCTACCACTTAATGCAACTTATTACCTAGCAATGACCACGGGACAGTGTCACCTGGCCAGACAGCTCAGCACCACCAGCAAGCGTCCTGCGTGTCCCCTTGGTCTGCAGGCCCTTGTACAGCCTCTGATCCACACGATCAGTAACTAAAGCACGAGCAAAACTCAAAACTGGAAAAAAACCCATACACAACATCACGTTTTGCCCTGTGAGCTCTGAGGAACTACATGTGTCCTCCAGCACGGCCAGGTTTCCCTCCATCTGCTTTGCTATGTCTAAAATCCACGATATCGCCGCAATTCACCCAGCAAGTTCTGGGTGCAGTTACGATGATTTCAGTGTCAATATTATTTCAGTCTCGAGTATTTCAGAATGCTCAGGAGATCCGTGTCACACGGATGATGTCTTCATATTAATTTCCGCAACTGCTCAGCATTGCCCTAAGCCCCTTCCCATGACGGATGTGGATGTTTGTATACATAAACACCCACGCACATCTATAGCATGCAGGAATCATTCACATCTGGGATCCCACCATGCAGAATCATCGAGATACCCCATGTCAAAAGAGAACACGCCATAAAAACAATAAAATAAAAAATGGTTATTTTTTTCTGGACAAAAATGAGTAAATCTTACAACGCATCTGTTTCCACAGTCCTACTGCCAACAACGTTTAAATCATGATGATTTTTTCAGATTATGACCAGGTTCAGCTCCATGAACCAACAGCTTTACCATCCCATTCAAATGCTCTTATTGTATTTTATGGTTATTTCTACATCAATGAAACGATTTAAATATCTTAGTTGACTGCAGTTTCAGTAACTTCTTTTTATTTATAGCATCACCATCTATTTCATGAAAACACTGACAGCAAACGGAGATTTGCAAAGTCCTCAAGATAAAGGCACAGGGCAGAAAATCTAACTCCAAAGTTGGGGCAGAAAGATGCAACCAGCAAATTGAGACCTGTGATAAGAATTAACTAAGAGCTGTGAAGAGTTAAGATGAGCCTGATTTTCATTCACTTCATCTAAAAAATAATTCATTAATGGTTTGTAAAGTGTGGCAGGCTCTGCCATGCGGGTGCAATCGTAGCTCCCTTGGGTTTATTTAGCCATTTTACTCCTCTGCAAAACACGAAAACACAAAAAAAAAGCCTGGGTGGGGACGGGGCTGTTAAATGAGCTGCCATTTGCGTAGAGCTGGGATAGTTCCCCAAAAACACCCTACAAGCTGCCCAAATTGCAAAGAAGGGGCTTTTCAAAGAGGGTCCCCGGCCAAACTGCAGGAAACCTCCCAGTCTGGGTCCAGCAGCTCCGATCCTTGCGGATTCTCCGCTTTGGCACCACCAAAGCAGAGGGATTTAGGGGTTTTTTGTTTGTTTTTTAAGGGAAGGAGGCGGAGGAGAGAGGAGATGTCTTAACTAAAGCCCATAGTTTAACAATCATCTTACCACTGGAGACGAAATTCGACACCCAGGGCAATCACAGATTGGAGGATGTACCTGTAAGATTCCTTTGGACATAAGAGTCTTCAAACTTTTCCCTGCATGAAGGAGAGAAGGAGGAGGAAAAACAATAAAAAAAGAGGGATCAGCGCTTTAAGAAAAGGAAAGTGTTAAAGGGAGGGGGAGAAACCCGCGGTTCCTGGCACAGAAACGGGCACCCAGGCGCGGAGGAGCACCG